TGGCACGATCTCAGCTCACTGCAACCTCTGCCTCCCAGGTTCAAGTAGTTCTCCTGCCTCAGCCTCCCAAGTAGCTGGGATTATAGGCATGCGCCACCACACCCGGGTAATTTTGTTGTTTGTTTTGTTTTGTTTTGTTTTGAGTAGAGATGAGGTTTCTCCACATTGCTCAGGCTGATCTCGAACTTCCGACCTCAGGTGATCCACCTGCCTTGGCCTCCCAAAGTGCTGGGATTATAGGCGTGAGTCACCACGCTTGGCCTCTGTGCCCCTTCCTAACAAAAAATTTCAGTAGTTTGACACTGCCAGGAATTTCAGATTCTTTTATTGATTGATTGATTGATTGAGACAGAGTCTCGCTCTGTCGCCCAGGCTGGAGTGCAGTGGCGCCATCTTGGCTCACTGCAAGCTCCGCCTCCCGGGTTTACACCATTCTCCTGCCTCAGCCTCCTGAGTAGCTGGGACTACAGGCGCCCACCACCTCGTCCGGCTAGATTTTTGTATTTTTTAGTAGAGATGGGGTTTCACCGTGTTAGCCAGGATGGTCTCGATCTCCTGGCCTCGTGATCCGCCCGTCTCAGCCTCCCAAAGTGCTGGGATTACAGGCTTGAGCCACCACGCCCGGCCTGGAATTTCAGATTCTTTAGCCTGACTCCAAGGTTCTCCCCAACAAGGGATCAAACTTTCACTGTGCCCACTATTTACCCATACTGCTCCTATAATTCCTGCCAGATGGGTCCATTGATTCCTTCCTGAACATGCTTTAAACAGTTACCTCCTGCATGTTAGTGCCCTACAAGGCAGGTACCATGTGCACACCTCTCCGTGTCTGGAAATCCTAGCCATTCTATAAACCAAACCCCTTTTCAGATGCTCCATGAAGCCCTGCTGACCACACTGGCCCTTCCTAAAGGCTCTATAGCACAACAATCACACATACACACATACGCACACCCTTTTACTGACAGTTCTCTTCTGACATCAAATTGATAAATATTAACAACCAACTACATACAAGGCACTACGTATGCAGAATACAGAAGGTGTGTACACAAGGGCTGTGCCCCCTCCAGAAGGAGCCAGTATCAGTGGTGGTTAAAAACAAAGGTTCCGGCCGGGCATGGTGGCTCATGCCTGTAATCCCAGCACTGTAGGAGGCCGAGGCGGGTGGATCACTAGGTCCAGTGTTCGAGACCAGCCTGGCCAACCTAGTGAAACCCTGTCTCTACTAAAAATACAAAAATTAGCTGGGTGTGGTGGTGCGCCTGTAGTCCCAGCTACTCGGGAGGCTGAGGCAGAAGAATCACTTGAACCTGGGAGGCGGAGGTTGCAGTGAGCCAAGACCGCGCGCCATTGCACTCCAGCCTGGCGACAGAGTGAGACTCCATCTCAAAAAAAAAAAAAAAAAAAAAAGCCGAACTCGGTGGCTCACACCTGTAATCCCAGCGCTTGGGGAGGCCGAAACAGAATGATCACCTGAGGTCAGGAGTTTGAGACCAGCCTGACCAACATGGTGGCACACGCTTGTAATCCCAGCTACTTGGGAGGCTGAGGCAGGAGAATCGCTTGAACCCAGGAGGCAGGGGTTGCAGTGAGCTGAGATCACCGCGCCATTGCACTCCAGCCTGGGCAACAAGAGTGAGACTCCGTCTCAAAAAAAAAAAAAAAAAAAGG